ATATATATATATATATTAACAAACCTATTGTCTCTTAACCCTAACACTGCAGGTGGGTTAACCAAAACATTTTTCAAAACAGTTTTTGTTAATAATAATAATTTAAAAAAAAACTTGGCTCAAATGCATGTCACCTCGTTCATTTGCTTTCACCAATCTCACGGTTTACTGAGAACACTTTCTTACTACCTCCCCGCTACCTAGCTAAACATAAACTCCCTCTTCCATGACTTTACATACGGCGGTGGCCAAAGCAGTGCATTATGAGGCTACCTTTTGCAATTCGAAGCCTTCTGGACTGTTCTCAAATGGAATGAGGCTGGGAAAATGAGTGGCCCATAAGAGTTTGATAATCTCTCCAAGAGATGGAAGAGAGATGCACCTAGTGGCCTGCGAGGACCTCGGGGGTCAGAGCCGCTCCAGAGAAGATGAGGAGGAAACGGGATTCTGACCCTCCAGCGTCTTCGCTCTTCGTTCACAGTGGTGCTTATCTTTGTGCCTACATTATTAATGCAGTGGTAATAGTACAATTCTGCTCCGCTCTCTGGCTCTATGGTCTTAACACCTTCTCGAGTCAATATTAAATCGAATTTCAAGGGAGAGACTACAAGCAAGACCACTTTAAGAATTTAAGACTCTGTCAAAGATCTACAGGGGTTTTCGCGCACCTTCGGTCTTGCAATATAAATCGATAATGCTTGTTATTGGCCAGTCTGTATCTTGTTTTAACTCTAAAGAAAGAGCTTTTATACTCTTTATTCTGGATTCCAATCAACTTTTTGTACAAAAAACACTATTATTATTGTAGCAAAAAAAGAAAGAATATATATTATGTTTCACTTGGAAATGCATAACATTATGGAAGTGTTGTGTATCCTGTTTCATGTCATTTAAAAACCAGTGACATTTTCAACCTTCGTGTCTGGATTTATATTAATTATATTATATTTTATTATTACTTTTACTCAGCAAGGATGCATAAATCATAAATAAAAATAAATCATGGTTTCCACAAAAATATTAAGCAGCACAACATTAATAATATTAAGTTTCCAACATTAATAATAATAAGATTTTTTTTCTTCAGCAGCAATTCAACACATACTGACTAATGATGCTTAAAATTCAGCTTTGCGTCACAGGAATGAATTGCATTTTACAATATATTCAAATAGAAAGCAGTAATTTTAAACTGTAATAATATTTCATAATTTTACTATTTTTATGTTTGATCAAATAAATGCAGCTTTGGTGATCATAAGAGACTTAAAAAAAATAAAAAAATCTTACTGACCTCCAACTTTTAAACAGCACACAGATATTCTGACCAATAAGGAGACAGTTTTCACACACGTGGCTCACGAAAAATGCTGATCTGTTTTTAAATGCTGCCCTTTAAAAGCAAATCAAGGAGAAAATGCAACTTCCTAAGAATTTAGTCCATTTTGCAACAACTACAAACAAAATACAGGTCTTAAAACGCCCGCAATAACGCGATAGTTCACCTAAAAATTTAAATTACCATAAGCTCCAGTAAGAACAGTGACAAACGCGGAAGCACAGAGGAGAGAGCAAAACAAAACACCGGTAACAAATTT